TTAAATAAAGAAATCAGTATTAAATTTATCTACTTTATTAACTAAAAGAACCCCTAGATCTATAGTTTATAAGTTTTTGAGGCTATTCGTATACGCTTATTAGAATACGAGCCTACCTTCTAAATAATAAAGCCGAAGAATTAGGATTAAAGTTCGGTTTAATATAATTATAAGAAGTTTAATCGGGTTTAGAGGGAGAATTTAATAGTTTAGTAATATAAAAAATTAATTTATAATACCCTATGTATTAAATAATAGTATCCTTTAAGAATATTAAAAGATAAAGAAATAATTGAAGTTTATACTAAGGATAAACGATTTAAAAGAATGTTAAAATTTTAATATAAAAAGATAGAAGGAGATTTAATACTTTAAAAATTAGTTTGGCCTAAAAATTATTAAACTAATATAAATCGAAAGAATAAAAAGCAATAAGGTTTTATAAGAAAAAAGATTTAATATGAATATTAAATTATTATTAGACCTTATAATATCGACGATATTTTAAAATTCTTCCCTAATTCTAATTTACTAAAATAATTATCTATAGTAATACCTTTATAATTTAAAACGCTTAAATAACGGAAATTAATTGAACATATATTATTATTAATTAGTAATCGGTTTATAGAAATTAATCCTATGATTCTAACTGCTGAAAAGTCTTACTTATCTTTTAAAAGTAATTATTCCAAACATAGTTAGTACGGGAGCTAATTGAAGGATTTTATATTAACTTTAATAAAACGAAAGATTATAATATAATCCAAGACTAATATTATTATCGATTAAACTTTACGCCCGAATATTTCATTTTTTTAAATCCTTAATTATTAGAAAGAAGTATATCGGCTTAGATTTAAAAAGAGATAATTAATTAATTATAAAGGGAAAGATAAATAATACTTCATAATTATAACCCGTTCAACGGCTATAAAAATATTTATATTGGAATTCCCTTTACCTAAATATAATTACTATTTATATTCCTATTCGAAAATTTATATCTTCGGATACATAATCTTCAATAATTTTTAAATATTCTTAAAAGTATTAACAAACCTAAGAATCTAAAATTGGGATTTCCTATAAATTTTATTCAAAAAACGCTACGGCCGTTCGAAAACCCTAATTCAATATTAATTTGGCCCATAATTTAAAGAACGAATAATTTAATTATTTAGTAAAGGAATAATCAAAGGAGGTAAATACTTATATTTAATTAAAGACGTTAAAGGTATTGCTTACTAACGGATTTAAACGTTTTTATTCTATACGGTAAATTCCTATTTAAATTCCTATTTGAAACTTTATTCCTAATCCTTCGATCGAAATATAAATCCAATTTAATAGCTATACTTTCCGAACAAATTCGCTCGTTTATTTTATTTAACGTAAGGAAAATAATTTTAATAATATATTAAAGTACAATCTAATATATCTTAAAATATAGAATACGGATTTCGAAGAACGATTTGATCTAAATATAAAATTGTACTTAGAAAATACTAATTACATATTAGGAATATTTTAGTAAGAATAGTTAATAAAATTAAATCGATGGAAAACTACTTAGGACCTACCGAAGAGAGAAAGAACTTTAAAGGAAAAAAGTAATACTATAAGGGGAAATAACGGTAATAATAGTAATATAGGAAACTAATTATATATATTAAATAGGTATAAGTCTATTCGGAAGACTTTTTACAAATTCAAAGGGAAGATTTCTTTTAGGGTAATATACCTTATAATTTTTACATTGATTGTTTCTACGATTTTTCTATAATATATTTTATTTAGGAATATAATTATAAGATTAAAAGGAATTAATGAATTAATATTAATTAGGGATTATAAAAAAGATTAGGAAATTAATAAATAATTAATTATATAAATTATTTAAATAGATAATTAGTTATTTAGAATTAATAAATAAATTAGATAAGCTATCGATAGAAAAAGAAAATTGATAGAAGAAAAATAGAAGGATAGGAGGATAATGAAAAAAAGTGGATTAATACTAAGAAAAAATATTATCAGAAAAATAACAACAAAAAAGCAACAACACTCCTTTTTCAAATATACTCTAATATACTTTAATTAAATATTTTAAATCACTTTTCGTTATTTGTTTACGTGAAATATTTAATTAGTTATTTTATTTATAATTAAACATTTTCTAATCCTTTACTCATTATTAAAGAAAGAGGTTACCTTTATTTATTAATTATCAAATAGTAAATTTTATATTCATTTATTCTTTAAATTCTAAAGCTATTCGCAATTTATTCGTTTATTCTCTTTAACCCTCCTTTCTCTAAACCTCAAACTTTAGCCTTTCTATCCACAATTAGCGCCAACTACCTCGTCTACTTAAATTATAACTTCTAGCAGTACAGCCCTAATCAGCTATCTATAGCAAGTTTTTATTGCAGTATATAATTGGTTTTATATTGTACTGTTATGTTATTTTAACCCATTTCATTATTATTATTACTTTGACTACTATTAGTAGTACTTTTATTAAATAATAGAAGGATAGTTAGCGGCTGACAAAGTGATAAAATAAATACGCTAATACTAGGTTAATTTATTTGGCTACCTTTATTACTTCGACCTCGCCAACTTTTACTTCGATTAATAACCCGATTTATTTATGAGGGGGGGGGCTATAGTAGAGGGACGGGGGGTGGGTTAGGGAGTAGGCGGCTAATTCGAATATATATATTAATTAATATAGGGTATAAGGAATATAGAATTTATTCGGGAAGCCAGTAGAATAATTAGGGGACGAAAAGGGGGAGGAGGACGGTTAATAATAGTAAAATTAGTAATACTATATTCTTATACTTTAATATAATTAGGGGGTACGTTACCGAAATTGTAAGTATCGATAGGGAGATCCTCTTACCGGCGGGAGGTTAGGCTACGCGGGCCGTTATAAATAAATTTATTTAAATTAAAAATATTATCGTTATTAGCGTCGTCGATAAAGCTGGCGATCTAGAGGCGGCGGGAGGATATAATAGGCAAGAGAAGAGGCAATAGAGGAGAGAGGAAGTAATAGATAAGAGTATTAGTAATAGAGGATTTTATTTAATAAAATTATAGAATTAATACCTATATTTATATACTTAAGAACTCCTAATTGGGTACTTTAATCGATTCGATTTAATTCGATTTAATTCGATTTAATTAACTAGAAATTAGCGATTTATCCCGTCTGGCTATTATTACTAGTAATAATAGCTTTTAAACGTTCAAAAGTACGATTTTTGCAATTTACTCGATTCTAATTGTTATTATAGTAGACTATTATTTATATGCCCTTTTTTACCCCTTAAACATTAGATTTTAATAATATTAATTACTATACCTGGTAATTAAATAAACGTTATATAATTTTATAGAGCGGCTTCCTAATTATTAGATAGATGTTTCTATTTGTGAATACTTTTAAAATTGAGCTTATAACGGTATTTACGGTTCTACGATTTAATAGACGAGCTCTAGTATAGAAATTTTAATAGATAAGCTGCACCCCTACGTATAGCCTCGCTTACGTACGCCTCCAAGTACGTGCAGGCGCCACTATGTAATAAAAGATAAAAAGAAAAAAGACAAAATGGTATAAAGATATCCCTGTTAGTACTGCAGATTTTGGCTTTGTACACGGATCAATAGAACGGATACTATGGTCGAAAATTGGAACGCGCCCCAGGGCTGGACAATGACATGGACTGCACACGGTGAGTTAAACCCTAGCCTCAGATCGATGAACTTGCGCAAAGATCGACGCCTTCCCGTCCTGCCGTCCTCCAGGCTTTCACGGAAGTCTAGGGGGTAGAGGCACTTGCCGGTCCTGTTGTATTCATGTGAGCATGACTCTGAAGGTGTATTGAAGCATAAATGTTGAGCAGTGAAGACGTGGCTTCACGGCCTTGATGACCATCTACTCAGCAAGTCTCGTCCAAAGCCTTATTCCGCGAAAGATCCTAACAACGGGGCTATACTTCCCCACGCCGTACACTCAGGAGACAGCAGCATGGCATGCCTTCGCGAAGCCGGAGGACTGGTCATTCATTCATTCACCATCCCCGCAAGGAGACGTGTCTCCTTTCCTAGAAGTAAGCATCCAACAACGTGGGCTCCAGGATAGTAAGCACGAACCGGAAGCCACCCAACACGCATGTGTACTTGCGGAGTACGGAGTATTGGCTGGCTGTGCTTATCTCTCGCTACACAGTAGAGCATCTCGAAACGAGTCTTTGTTCGTGATAACTTGAAACATCTGGACGGTACGCCTTGCTTGGCCGGTCGTTATGAGTCTCACCACTCCTTATTGAAGCATCACGTTCTCGATAACGGTTAACTACAGCCAGGTGGCGACACACGGCATGAGTCTCGAATCCCCACATCAGAAACCGGTACCCGGACGGACCGCCGATCACGGCCCGGAATGTTAGGCCGGTGTGTCACGGGTGTGAGTCGTCGGTCTGGATCTTCCCGTCGCTAGGTCCTGGCCGGTCTCGCGGTTAAAAGTGGACGTTGGGCATTTCCGGACTTGTTCCGTTCGTTTCGTCGTCGACGGATGTGGTGGTGATAGTGAAGGGCCAGACTCAAGCCTCGTCAGGGAGTCTAGGGAGCAATCTCGCTGTCCTCACAGTTGTCATACGCTATCGACAAGCCATGATACTCTACCACAGGGCCCTAGGGAGAAAGGGGTCAGGCTATCGAGTCTGGAATACAGGCTGGAGCTGGCCAGACACGGTCTAGAAATGAATGCGTGCAGCAATTGGCGAGCGTGTGAGCCGTGCGCAAGATCGAAATTTGTGTGTGGGATCGGTCAGCGTTCTGGACTGTCGGGGTGTGGACTTTGCCGTGTGGCCTAGAATGTGCTGGTGCAGAGGACTGAGTCCAGGCCGAGGATCCACCGACAAGCCACTCAGCACTCGACCGGGGCCACGGACACTTCTGCATCTTTGAAACCCTTTCTTTCATCACTGTTCCCGCTGCTCGACATCCGTGCCGTCGATGAACCCGGCGTGGGATAGGATGAACGATGGACGGCAAGGTCCGGGTGTCCTCTGCTCCGCGCTAAATACGACACCATCAGCTATCAGAAGCTTTAAAGACGGCGACGACATTAACGAGCGAGGGCCAAGTTTCTTGCTTGGTGGTTACTGAGCCTTTTATGTATGATGGTGACTGAGTCTATGACGAACCTGAGAAAGGATGATGGGATCGGCGTGTCCTGTTTTTCCCGTTTTGAGCAGAATTTAGTATCGATTATCCAGTAGATTAGAACTGTTGGTGGCCAAGCCGTATATCTTGGCGCCAAGTCCTGCGTCCAGCTCAAAGTCACTCTTTTTCAATGCTCGCGAGATCCCCAATCTCGCTCGCCTTTTTCGCTCTTCCGGTTTGGTGGTTTGTTGCGCTGTCCACCGAAGCCCTACGTAGTGGGTTGTTGTAGGTACCGCATCAACTGTACGGGGTATCCCCAGCAACGGCGTTGACGCAATTCCTAAACTGTGGACATCCCGTCCTGTTCAACATGAATTTGCTTCACCTGTGTCATAGAGTATGTAGGCCAGAGATTAAGGAGCACAAGATACGTACCACGTCGTGTGCCCATCCCAGAAACAAGTCTAGGTTCCAGGCCTTATCGCGGATGTGCAACTGCAGCCCAACACAAGTGCAATCTGTGTGCGTTTGTTTTGCTGTGTTGGTGTTGGTAGGGGATGGCTTCAACATTGGTGCTGCTTGCTGTGTTGGTTGGTGGATGGCGCTGCGACCAACGAAATGCTACAAGTTAGGCAGTTGACGGCATCATACCTCTACCCTAGTGCTGGATGGATGGATACGAGGTGAGCCTGATGATTCCTCCCTTCCTTCTCTACCAGCTTCCAAAACTGGCTGGAGGGAACGTGAAAGTCGTGGACGCCAGACGCCATCGTCACATTCCGAATTGGCGAGCGTGCGCCCGGTGTTGGTCCTGGAGTCGAGAACTTGCAAGACCTGTCGACTCGTCAACAAGCCGGAATTCGAGAAAGCAGTACGTAGCAGTACGTAGCGCTTCGTAGAAGGACGTTACATTACGGCATGATGACCTGGCTACCCCATGATTGTGCATAGTCTTGCGACTATCGTTCTTCACCTCGTTAGTTGCATAGTGAGGTAAGGTTTCAGGCTCTGTCTGCTCGGTAGGGTCGGTACTTTGGCGCAGGTACCTCCCTTCCTCCACTCTGCTTGCGTCTGCCCTGCCTGTTTTTCGCACGCCCGGCTGGCCGCGAATTTGATTTTTTTAGCCCCACCCCCCTGGCAAGCTCGGACTTGGTATACCCCTACCCCCTGGGCAGCGGGCAGACTTGGCATTTTGTTGGTGGACGCGGGTCAATACCGTTTGCATACAAAGTCTTGGTCTGGCCCATTCGTCTCTGACCGGAAGAAATACCCCACTTTTCGCTCCAACTCGATCGAGATACAAATTCCTCGAACCGACCTTCGCACGTATAAACCTCACACCCGCACCACCAACCTACAAGCACCAGCAAGCATCAGCACCAAACATCAACACCAACATCAACATCAACACTCGAGACCAAGCCAGCAACAAACTCTGCAGCATCCTCAACCCAACACTGATACTAAGAGCCTGCCTCGCGCACTTCCACCACACAACACACATCACAATGTCCGCAAAAGTTCAGTACCTTACTTCCACATCTTCGGCTTCGTCATACTCGTCCTCCGACTCCGACCTGTCTTCGACATCATCAGTCAGGCACAGCATGGACTCGACACCACCCATTGTCTCGGTTGAGGTACTCCGGTGCCTAAGGTGCGCCCGCGCCGAAGAGATCACCTCGACAGACGACCCCAGCTCCTCGGGAATGGTCCAAATTGGCACCAACATCTATTACTGCAACCGCTGCGCCAAGATGACTGGCTACAAGTGAATCAACAAAAGCAGTCTGCCTTCTCACCATCAATCACCACGGTTGGAATGTGTGGGAATTGGCCACTTGGGATCTACGCATCATCTTCGCACACGCGAAACACCCACAGCCTCCAGCTTCGAAGCGACAACTCGACATTCCACGTTGCACCGGAGTCGAATAACGGCGGATTTTGAGAGTCTGGACCAAAGCGTCCTGATCGATCGACGCAAGTACCGGCGATCACGGTGGCAATTTCCTCTGCGGCGGATTTTTCCCTCCTGCAACACAGCCCACGACATCTTTGCTACAGGTACTTGAAACAGCCGCCATCCTCACGGCGGCAACAAGTGCCCACCATTGATCGGTCTTTTCCGCGGACATGGGTGTCGACATGCAAATATCCATTCACAAACGCGACGCATCCAGCCGGGCCGCCACAGAAACGGCGCCCCGTGCAGACATAAAGTCAGCAGCAGTCTTGCCTTCAACGACTCTGTATTCAAGCTACTCTACACTATGAGTACCTCGACTCGCCAACCATCATCCTCACACCGAGTGATGTGCGAGCCAAGAGTAAAACATCGAGATCCTTGGGACTCTCTCCGAGCCACCGAGTTGACTATGTCGAACTGATGAGCCCTTCTGACGTTTGAGCGCGACGGTCGCGGCTCATCACAGTCCAGGGATCGAATTTGCTATCTTTCCCATTCTCGGATTCCCGTCATTGTGCGTCAAAGGCACATGCTACGAGATCTTGGGAGCGTCATTGGGCTACCAACAACAACCGACTTTGGATTTGGTGCTGTCTATCACCGGCGGCGGCCGACCAATGGCGGTCGGGGTCGCTAGACTACCCCTCATTTTTTCTCTTCTTCTGCTCCCTCCTCCGGACACCCCCTGCTCTTTGCCAAGCCACTGACGTCGACCTGCTTAGATCCTGCTCTCGTCTCGGGGTGGGGACGGCATTCGCAATTGGCAAAGGAGATCCAGGGGCACCGGTGGAGTTTGCTAGCTGCTACGAACGGCAGTTTTTTGTGTAATTTGACTGTTTTTGGACTTTTTGTACTTTTATGTTAACATTTGTCATTTGAGCGAGGCGTTGGGATTTGCTTTTCATGCATTGCATACACGGACGGAGTAGAAAGGAAAGGACGGTAACAAAATGTCGGAAGGCGGATAACTGGCTGGGCTGGATACCTGGTGGCTTTTTTACAATGGGATTCAGGAAACGGGAAACATCAATACAATTTTTGAGCCTGGTGGCTATCTGATTTCTTCAGCAAACAACTATACCCCTATGTTGCAAACTTCTGTGATTATCTTTTCATTGAGCAGATATCATTATCCTCTTGACCTCTTTTTTCTCCCTCCGCTTCTTCAATGTGTGCAGCATCTTCATGCAGGCCAGGCAGGTTTTCTGCTCGTGCTCTGGATTTGGCTTGCTGCAGATAATAGTGCCATTTGACAAATCAACAGCTGCTATTTTTGTACCACAACGGTTCCCCGCGCCAGCAAAAGCCTCCATTCGCAAATTCGGGGTTGTTTCCTACGGGCTGTTCTCATCAATCGACTCGTGTTTTTTTTGTGGGCGGTGTCTCCATTCCCATACTCGCCATCCCCATCCTGCTTTTAGAACCTGCATTTCCTGCAATGCCATCGAAGCCATTCCCATCGTGCCATCCAATGCACTGAAAGACGGATGTGGAGCTACAGATGAACTAAACAACAAGCTACAGCAAAGCTACAGCTCCAATTGTTCATTTTTCTCCAATCATTCTTGGAGAACCACACTTCGGAGCTCCCCTCAAGCTCCTCATAGCTCCTCATAGCTCACCAGGAGCTCTTCCCCGGCCCCCCTTCCCGTTGCAGTTGCTCGAACGGTGTTGACTCGTGGCCGTCCAAAAGCAGCCGTCCATTGACGCCAACGCAATCCGCGATTGCTTTGACAGCGAGTCGGTAAGTCGCTACGGTACCTACCTACATAGTCGCTATACACGCGCTTCGCTTGATGCGTGCTGCGTGGCGGCGGCTGTGAAAGACCTCGACAGAAGAAGAAGCATGCCACGCGGCATTGGGCTCAGCTAGCTGCAAGACTCCGTGGAAGGAAAGAAGGAAAAGGACCCCAACAGACACACACATCCTGCATTCATTGCCCATCTTTGTCGAGATGCATTTTCACATCAAAACCTCCGTCGCTATTTTCGGGCTTTGTGGTCTTCATCTTCATGTCCTCTTGTCCTTGTCCTGCCAACAAGCCTCCCTTGGCGACGGAAAGATCCGTGATCGTCAACACTCTCTTTACTTTTTTTTGCTTCTTTTCTCACGATCACTTCACAATTCGCTCTTCGCACTTCACAGTGACAGCCCGCTGGGCGATGTCCATCCCCCGCATGGCACTATACCGGAAATTGTTCATGACTGACTTTTTGTCACAACCAGCCTCATCTTTGCCTTTTACAATATGGGTGTATCACAACCTCAACCTGATTTGGGGTCGGTGGGGGGAAAACATGGACAAAAAGCTCTCAGTTTACTATCAGACTGTGCAACATAGCCTCACTTTATGGGCAAACACCAGCTTACACAAACCCACAACATGTTACAACTACTATATTTACCTAAGCACTGCATCGTGACTGGAACCAATAAGTCTTAGTTCAGTAGTTCAATAGTTCATCAGATAGTCTTGCAGATCTAAGGGTCCCTGGGGTCCTCCTTCATGAGCTTGGTACTGCACAAAGACATCATAACCTCGGTTTTTTGGTGTGGGTTGATCAATGTTGGACATATGATGTAGCGTGGTAGTTCACAGGCCGAGAGCTCCGGTTATCTCTACTATTTACATATCACACAGAAGGGAACTGATGGATGCTTATCAGTGGTGATTAGAAGTGGGTTGGGGATGGTGGTGTGGTGTTAAGGTAAAAAGGGTGTCAAATGATCACAGTAGGGTCACTAGGGTGGTAGGTACCTGAAACTGCTGAAAAGAGATGATGTAAATCTCAGGACCCTTATTGCTTGAAACTTACATATCTGCATATCTGGGGCAAGCCTTATGTTTCTCACTGACGTTCGAACTGAGACAAAATAAGCCTTCACTGGTTCAATGTCAGAGAAATCAGAGACAGAGCCCCGTTGATGCTTCACTACGATCATCCGGGTCGGATGTCACATGCCTCACTTATCAGCCCAGATAGTAGGGCTAATAACCAAGATCCCAGTGCCCATGGGAACGCCATGGGAAAGGTTGACAACATCATACCTGCCCATCAACTACACGTGTTTCGGGGTTAGGGGTGCGGTATCGCATCGCGTATCGACTCTGGTGTAACTCTTCCCGTTGATCATCAGCGATTGTCGCTGCAGTCTTTGGATATCTTTGTCTATTTTCGGTTGTCAGAGTAACGTTGAAACTTGGGGATAAGGCTGTTGAACTCGACCTTGATATCGAGGCTGTTGTTAGTAGAATGTCGAAAGCCGAACAACGACGACGACATGGAAGACTTCTTTTTGCAACTTCTGAAAATGTCGGGACTTCACGGCCCGTTCCACGGTCCACCTCTAATGATTGTCCTTGGCACTCCAAGTTTGCATTCGGCGACGATGCCCGCTTTCTAGAAAAGGCCACACACCTTGACTGCCCGCTGCCAGGCACTGTCACTGTCTGGTGTTTTCTCGGTGGACAATTTCGGGCTCGGGGATATGAAGGTTGAAACTCGGTGAGTTGAAATAAGGCCGGCAAGGCTTGCACATACACCTCTTCCCACTTTGGTCCCTACCGTATTTCCACGGTACCTTGGGCCCTTAGGAATAATGATGACGCTAAGTGTTGAATGATGGGTAGCGTAGTTTAGGAAGGTAAGGTGTGTGATGTTTCACCTCCAGGTCTCACATCATCATCCCTATCCATTCAACAACTTATGCCTTTATGCCCTTCTTCCGTTCCGCTTGCTTCCCTCTCTCCCGGTGAAAGCGGGTGATGAGGGGGTTTGAATAGCCGAGAATCCCCTTGAACCCTAGCCCAGCCAGCCGTGCGGCCGTACCTGACATGAGGCGTTTCGGGCTCGGCTTCTTCTGCGGTACACGTAGTATCTGGGGCTTCTGGGGTTCTGGGGGAGGAGACGGCGTTAAAAAAAGCTTGAATCGCTTTTACCGGGCGTCCACCGACACCGGCAGGCGGTATAAGCGAGGGCCTTCCGAAAAGGGAATCACTCGGCTCCGCTTGATGACGACATTGTGCATTTTCCCGCACCTGCGTCGCCGTTGATTTTACTTGATATCTCCTCTTGTTTGATTAGGTTATGAGATTATAGGTTTTGAGGCCGAAAATGGGGTTCGTGAGAGGGTCGTTGGGAGGGTCGGACGGGGGGTTGGCCCCCATCACGACCCTCCGACCCCTCCGGACCCCCCCGGTCCGTTCAAGGTTACGGGTCCCGGACCCCCGCTCGCTCGTCCCTTTCTTCCGCTGAGTGGCCGCTGAATTCGCTGAATGACCGCTACAACTGCGAAGGATTGCGGATGTACCTGGACCGAAAGGAATGAGGCGGACCTGGGGAGACGATGAGATTAACGAGACGAACACGACGAGCAAGATTTCGATCTCCGCCCCCGGACGAGCCGCTTGGGTTGAGGTTGTTATATGTCCTTCGAGAACACATCCACCACACTACTGGTTTCATCTTTCAATGATTTATTATTATCTTGGGAAATGTAGCGTCCCGATCCCTTCTTCATCATCACCACTCTCACGGGTTCACCTCTGCGCCGTGTGATCGTGCTCCGGACAGCCATTGCGCTAGGGTAGCCAAGGCAACGTTCAACGGGCGGCCAACCAAGCTGGAGCAACGGAATGGGATGCTTGGAGTCCATTCAGCTGACCCTGACGAGAGAATGAAGGGCATGTACGAACCCTGAGTTGCGTCTAGCGAAGCATCATCCCGTCCACACAAGGGAAGAAGCGTCCCGCACCTGCGCTAAGCTTCTTCCTGTGCGCGATCGCGAGGAGCAATTCACCGCATAGCATCAAGCATCATGCATCGTTGCCCTGATTTTGGCGATGTTATTCGCAACAAGCCACGCCCTAACCCGCGCCGACGAGTCAAAATCGCCAAAACGCCATCGGAGACTCTACCGGTGTTGCACTTGTTGGCTTCAGTTGTCATGCCTCCCTCAGCTACCACCCTCCATGCTGTACACCCTGGCCCATCCATTTGGTTCACTACAGCTATGTATGCACATATCAGTGTATCACGCTCACCTCTAACATC